TCTGTTACTTCAAATTTTGGTACTATTCTTATTAATTTTATTTACAGATGTTGCCGTAATGTTAATCCAACGTGATGAAGCTGGACACTTATCCCTTGATAAATCTTATCGTGCACTAGCTTGCATCCCTTCTGCCTTTCGCAGCGGAATTCAACTTAGTTGGACACAGCAGTTTATTTATAACAGTATGTTTACTTTCATCTTATTTCTTATGTCGGTGATACGTAATATAAATATATACTTGCGACATAGTTAGAAATTTTGGAATAAATAGTCATTTTAATTTTTTTATTTTTAACTTTTTAAATGTAATAATTTATTTTTAAAAAGTATATAGCAAAAAAAAAAAAGGTAAACTTTTTATTTATAAATTAGAGATTAAAGTGATTTTTTTAGAAAGTTGAAAACGAAAATAAAAAGTGATTGCAAAATTAGGAATAAAGAAAGTTTTTCTTTGAAATTTTAATTTGTGAGAATACACAAGCATATGAAAAATGAATTATAAACAAGCTAGCCGAGTCTTATTAAAACCATCATTTAGTATAATAATTATTTAATGATAGTAATAGAATATTTTTTATTATTATAATTACTAATTTAAAGATTGAATATATTATTAATTTAATTAATTATGTTGTGTCTTTTTAACTACATAATAATTTTCTTAAAGAATTAGAGACCGATCTATTTGTCATTATTAAAGATTGATTTAGAAACTGTAGTAATTAAAGACTAAAATATTTGGTCAATGTAGTAATTAATTTAAAAACTGATTTTTTAAATAAAAAATTAAATTTTCTTTAAAAATTAACGAAATTTTTTTTGTTACTATAATAACTAATTTAATAATAAATAATTTATTATTAAAAAATTTTATTAATTGACTGATAGTAATTAATTTAGTGATCAATTTTTTAAATAATTAAAAACTAACTTATCAATCACTATGATAAATAATTTATTAAAATAAAAATTAAAAAAATGTTTATTAATTATCATAGTGACTAAATTAGTAGTTAATTGTCTAAGAAATTAATAAATTAAATTTTTATATTTATTATTTCTTTTTAATAATATTTATTATAATATTTTTTATTAATAAATCTAATTTGTATTTTATACTTCATAATTTATATTATTTAAAATAGTTATATAGTATATTTTTTATTAATTAAAAAATCTTATTTATCTTATTTCTTTCTCTTAAAGAGTTTTGATTTTTCTACTTTTATTTTATTAAGACATCGATCTTACTTTTTAATAAAAAAAATTTCTTTAAAAGTTCATATTATTTTTTATAAAAATATTAATTAATTTATTATTATATTTAATAAATTATTATAATAAAATCAATGATATAATATGTAGTATTTTAAAATAAGTAGGATAACTAATTCAACAATAATAATTAAATAAATATTTTAATTTTATCTTAATTTAGATTGATACGTGATTTCTCGCCAACAACTAATCAAGTCATAAGAGAAAATTTTGATTTGATTTTCTAAAGTTATAAGTGGTAACATGTTGGTCTCTCAGAAATTTTGGTTATTAAATAATATTTAAAAATTTAAACTATTATTATATTACTTATTTTAAAGATTTTATCACTAAATGTTTATGAAAGATTAAAGTAGTGATTAATTTTTTTAAAATTAATTTAATAAAAACGAAAATCTTTAAAAAAATAATTAGATAATATTTTTCAAATTTTAAAAAATGATTTGACAATGAAATTTTAAAAAACTAATGTAATGACAGTTTAAATTTTTAAAAGATAAATTCGGGAATCAACTGAGTAAAAAACTAATGTAATAACCTTATAATTTGAAGTATCGATACAGGATAGTTTTCTCACTGCAATTAAATATCAATATATTAATTTACTGTTAAAGTTAAACCTGATAATAATATTTATTTGAGGATGGTTAAAAATATATTCTTTAATTTAACCATTTAATCCTATAAATATTCATTTCTACCTTATTTATAAAAAAATAAATATTATTTCAAAAAAATATATAAAAATAAAAACTCATTTTTAAATGCATTACCAAGACATTAACTCATTATTGACCTGAGATTTGTATTACCAGAACATTAATTCATTATCTATATAAATGAGTATAGTTATTCATTTAATATAATTGTGTTAATGAGTCAAGTCGAAGTGAATATTTATAGCTCCAATTCGACTGGTTTATTAACCAAGCCCTATTTATAGCTTTCATAAAAGGGCTTAAGGTTAAAAATTAAAAATTTTATTAGGAAAATTCAAAATATATATATTTCTATTATAATTTTACCTTTCATTTAAAAAAACTTATTTTTCATACTATTAAAATCCTCTTATGTTAATTTTATTGTCATTTTATTCTTTTTATTTTCATAGTTCTTTTCCTTTTTCTTCTCTTTTTTATATTTTCATTATTAATAATTAATATTAAATTTTTTAAATTAAAATAAATTTAGATAAATAATACTTTTAAAGTTAAAAATAAATTATTTAAATTAATTCATTTAATTTTTATTTATATAACATGTTAAAAGTTATAAATTCACACACTGAACATAAATGCCTAATTCATTTTAAATAATTTTAATGTGGATAGTGTAAAAATATTTATTAAATAATAAAATATTAATGATTAGGAGATGTATATGGGATACAATAAATGTTTTTCTAATATATTCTGGTTACAGATTTGTTGATGCAGAGAATCAAAGTCAACTTTGAAGACAAGAATATCGAAATCGAACCTCGTGGTGGGTCACAAGAAGAAACGAATGCATATGTTTTAATAGGTCTGTTTCCAATTTATCATTGTTTTATATTTTAATTAAAAATATTAATATTTTTTATCTTAATTATAATAAGTAAATGTTTATTTTTAAATGTATTAATTATTAATTTTTATATTTTTATTTATGATAAAATTTGTGTTAATAATATACTCATCCTTTGCCTGTACAAATAAATGCATTCATTCATTTAATCTATGAAATATTAATTAACGTTATGAGTATATTTTAAATAGAACATAAATTTATCACATATAATTATTTTTTTACTAATTTTAATGAATTAAATTAAAAAATTAAAAAAATTAAAACACATTATATAAGAATTTATAAATTTTATAGATTAAATATAGACAAAATATAATAAATAATTTATTATATTACGTAAAATTAAATTTAGGAGATAAAATTTTAAAATTAAAAAAATTACAGAAAAATCAAAATGAGATTTCAAATTAAGATTAAATTTAAATTTTTTATGACTTTTATCAATATAATATGATAATTTTTAAAAATTAAATTCAAGTTAGGATTGATTGATATTATAAGAATTTTGAAATTCAATTTATTTGACAAAGAAATATATTTTTTAGTTTGATATAATGTATCAAAATTTAAAATTTAGATCACATTAAATCTACTATTGAAAATACAGAAATCAAATTTAAAATAAATAAAAAATTTAAAAACACTTAAAGGAATAAAAATTAATTAAATCATTTATTAATTTTAGAAATAGAAATAATTATCATAGTTTTATATTTTTATATAGCAAATAGTTACTTTTTAATAAAATTTTTTATTGCTTAAAAACGTTTTTAAAGGTTGATACATATAATTTTTATTTATTTTTAGTCTTGCTAGTCACTGTATATTAGTTCAGAAATTAATAAAAAGTATGTTTTCATTGAAAACCATGTACGAATTTATTAAAATCATGGAGTGAGTGTCTTTTTATGTTTTTTAATTAATTCTTTAACTAGTAGAATGTTTATTAAGTTTTCCTTCTTAAAATCCATTTTTTATTCGTTGTTTCCATCTTTTGAGTTTTTTTTTTTTCAAACTAAGCAATTTCTAAAAACATCGAATGTTAAACATATATTTTTATGTAATTTTTTTTTAAAATCGCTAAACTATTGGTTAAAAAATAAAAAAAATAATCATATTAAAAATGCATTAAAATTTATGGTGATACCAAATTAATAACATTTTTAACAAAGATGTTTTACGTTTGGTTCTTTAGTCAATACACCTAACATTATCCATTTTAGGTTTTTTGTTGTTGGAATCCATTTTAGGTTTAGGATAATATTAACATCAAGTATAAAAGTTGATTTTAATCAATCATTTTAAAATGATAAATATCTATTAAAATTAAATATTACATAAAAAATACAAAAATATTATTAATATATTTGTTTTAAAAAAAACATAATTTTAAATATTTAAAATAAATCTTGAGTTGATATTGATAAAATTGTTAAATTTATCCAAAATGTCTCACACCCTGTCATAAATGCCACTATGCTAATACTAATTGCTTTCATATTTTTGAGAAAAACTCTGCAGATGCAACAAGAGATCATTCCTCTCTCCTAATGCGATGTTTCGGTGGAATTTTCCGACAAATGCAACAGTTCGTTAAACCTTCAATACTCCTAAAATTCTCTGGTAACTTCTACGATAAATGCTCCAAATGAGTTATTATATCATTATTTTGGAAATAACCCTTAAGATAAAATTTAAGTGTAAATTTTGGGTGCTGTTGTTTATTAATTAAAATGATTTTTTAATTTGTATAATATTACACATAATAAAAGATTATATATAGCAAATTTTTATTAAATATTACATAAGTTAATATAAAACATTAATTTTGATTAGTAAATAGCATCAACTACTTCTTTAGAGTGTACTTAAGTTTTATATTATTTGATTGAAGTTTGAATTATCAAGATAAAACTCAAATAATACTCAAAAATACTTATGATACTAATTTTGTCCTTGTTTTCATTTCCTCTACTGCGTCTTCTTGTGCTTAATTAAGTCCTTTATTTTAAATTAATATGCTTTCAGGTATTCAGGAAATATATGAGATGAAAAAGAAGCATTCTTTAGTACTTATGATTCTAAATTACTTGTGCTCAAGAACAAAGTCATCACAACAATATGATTGGGTAGCTGGAGAAGCAATGTTAATGGCAGCGAAGAACGGAATTATTGAGTTCATAGACTCAATGAGAAAAGTAAATTCTGACCTTTTATTGGTTAAAGATAAAAATGGAAGAGGTCTACTTGCAAATGCAATTTTGAACCGTCAAGAAAAAATGTTTAAATTCATGCTTGGAGTAAAAAATCATAAAGAATTTTTTGTATCCTATTATGATGAGTTTGGAAATAATATATTACACCTCGCAGCAGAATTCGGAATTCCCTCTATTAGTGGAGGCAAATACAGTACAACTCTACATTTATTGAGAGAACTCCAATGGTTCGAGGTACGTAATCAAGTTCAACCTATATATAATTTATATTTTATAAAAGATATGATTAAATTTGTTAAAAATATAAATTGTAAAATTTTTTTTCTAAAAAATAAATAAAAATATACTAACTTTTATAAGTGTGAGCTCTTACTTTTCTTTTAGTTGTAACATTTTAATAAACTTAGACACTACTTGTTTTAGTATTTTCAATGGTGTAATATATATATATATATATATATATATATAAACACGCTTCTATTTTAGAAATATTTTAATAATTATATGACTTTGAACTTGTTAAAATACATACTAATGAATAATTTGCTAAAATACTTTTTTTTCTTAAAAAAGTAAAAATATATTAGGATTATGGGTACTAACACGCTCATATTTATTTTTTAATATGTTAGTAGGCTGAATTTAAATTTGATAATATAATTTTTTTTTTGCAAAATCAATAAAAATATATCAACAATCCCTACAAAATAAAACTGAAAATTAGGAGAGACTTTTTACATTAATTAAAACTAAAACAATTGATACTAATGAGTGATTTGTTAAAGTGGTATATACTTAATTATGCAAGATTTAAGGTATAATTTTTTTATTTGACTAATATATCTCTTCACTTACTAATGTTTTGGTAGTGATGTCACTTGTCAGTTATAATTCTCCCCTGTTATTATGAGTTGTCAAACGTACTACATGTATATTTTATCAGTCAAGTAAGAATATTATGGACTAAGAAACTTATTTAAGTGACTTTTAATCACTACCAAAAGGTTAGTAGAGAGAGAGATACATTAGTTAAATAATTCTTTTTAATTGATATCCAAAGTCACAATACAAAAATTATATAATAGTTTTTATAAGAAATCACAGGATATCATAAAATTCAATGCATAAATAACTTAAATGCTGTAATTTTTAATAAAAAAAATACTAATTATTAATTTTTTATCGTACAACGTTGGTCACGCATAAAAAAATTAAAGAGTTAACTAAAAACTTGGAATAAGTTTTTGGTTGAAGTGCTTTTGCATATTATACTTATACCAATATCGGGAATCACAATGTTTTATCCTTGCTTCAAGATTCTTAAATACAAAAGTATAATAACTCTTGACTCAAATGCAAATACAAATATGAATGTGTCTAAACAGAAGAAAAAAATGAATGGGATTGATGATTTTTTCATTGTATTGTATGCAGGCTGTAGAAAGTATTGTGCCTCCAGCGTGCCACGAAAGTAAAAATAAAATGGGTTTTACACCTGGTGAACTTTTTACCATGAACCACCTAGAACTTATAAAAGATAGTCAACAATGGTTAAAAGAGACATCAAATACTGGCATAACTTTTGGTACTGTTATCATTACTCTCATGTTTGCTGCAGCCATCACTGTCCCAGGGGGAAACGATCAAAACAAAGGCACACCCATGTTTTTAGGTAAAGAAGCATTTACTTTGTTCGCAGTAGCAGATGCAATATCTCTAATCACATCTTTATCATCCGTCTTGTCTTTTATGGCAATCCTTACATCAAGTTTTGCTGTGGAAGATTTCATGAAAAGCTTGCCCCTCAAGTTATTTTTTGGCTTTGGATTCCTATTATGTTCTGTGCTATCCATGATGTGTGCTTTTTATGCTGCCCTTCTTTCGATGCTAAAAGGTTACCGCTGGATTTTAGTAGCAACCTTGTGCACCACAGTTATTCCAGCCTCGTTACTTATCCCCTCTATATTGCGTCGCTCTACAAGGATTCTAAGGTTCGCAATTAGATCTGGTTTCCACTCTATAAAGAATACAAAGAGTCACTGATTTTAAATTTGTAGCTAAGTTACATTTAATTTAATTATTGTGTGTCCCTCTATTATTTTACTTTTCTCTTTTCCTCGTGAAATATCACACCTAGATATAAATAGAAAAATTGAGAACTTTAAATATTTTGAGGTTTTGGACTGAGGTAATATTTAGTTAGCTTGTGTCGTTTGTTGATGATCTATTAAAAGAAATCTCTTTTATGATTAACTCTCCTTTTATATTTCTAATAAATGGGATCTATGTAAGGGTGGTAAAATAAGCCAGCCCATCATAAAATGATATGTGAGAAGCTTGTTCAAAAACAGAGTAATCTGAGCTGTCCCGTTTAAAAAATAAATTAATAGGTTGGTGAGTTAACTATTAGCCCACCAAAACAAAAAATGAAAAAAATGGTGGGTGAGCCATTGGAACAATGGACTAATTCACAAAAAATTAACAAAAAAAAAATACAATAAATAATAAAAAGTGTTTAAAAAATAATTTTATATTAATAAAATTTAATATTTAATTAATAAATAATTATTTTTTTAATTTTAAAAAATAAAAAATGAGCTCGACGGTCCAACTCACCCCAACTTGCCACTAGTCTGCATTTTGATAGGCTAGCAGAGGGCAGACTGGTAGATTTAAAATATTCAGTCAAGTCTGCCAATTTTCGTTAGTGAGTCCACTTTGACAATCCTAAATCTATGGTGACAAAGCAGAGGTCACCTAACATGTCTTGTTGATGATAAGACCCATCCCTAGCAGTGTAGCGCAACTTGAAAAATTTTGTTATGCCACAATACTCACTCATGACTGAAAACTAATTAAAAGGATTTTCCTTTAGTAGAAGCATACCATTTCAAAGGACTCATGTTTGAGAGGGAAAATTATTGAACTAACAAATATGATTGAAGAAATCACACACTAAACAAAAATAGACAAGATGAGTAGCGTAGAAGACTTATAACTGGGTGATTTTTACATATCCTCTCCTTAATTTTAAGTGCTTTTCAATAAACAGAGTAAAAATGTAAAATGCTTCCCGATTGCCTCACCTTCTCTTTTCCCCGCATCCAGGCTCTAGCTGATCCTTATCGACAAAAGACAAGATGCCACCATAGTATTCAGGTCCCACTAAAACGAAACAATTGCATGATTCTCATCAATAAATTCTGAGTCTTGAGCCACTCCTAGTTCGCTATGAACTCCTCCTCCATCAACAGATAGTCCAATGCGTTCCAATTTCAACAGCCTTAGCTTGCACTTCGATATCGCATAACCGTTGGTAACTGCGCTGCTGCCTCCAGGCCCTTTTGTTTCGGTTGCTTCAACCCCACCCGTGCCGGCGGAGCTGCCGCTCGAACTTTTTCTCCTTCTTATCCCCGCCGTCGGGTTTTCGGTCACCCAAAAGACCTTGTCGGTTGAGATCACCCGGTATTCCCTCACCCATGCTTTCTCCGGGAATGAAGGAAGAGGGACTCACTAGGCACTGACATGCATAAACAAAATTCGCTTTCTTTCTGACGTTTCATCTTCTCTGACAGCTATATTGCCTCTCTCCGATGACATTTCATCTTCTCCGACGACATTCTTTTATGCCACTGCTTGTCTGGGCAGCTTATTTTGTCAACTGAGATCCAAGTTAACATCGACAAAGATCTCTTGATTCTCAGGTTCACTACTACACAGCAGTGTGGAGGGCATCGAAGAAGAGAAAAAGACGAGTAAAACAATTATAAAATTATCCTTCAATAGTATTTTTTTAATATTATTAATATTTTGATCAAACAATCCACAATATTTCGTAACTATTTAAAAGTTAAAATTCTCTTATTTATTAAAATTTATTAGAGGACGTCTCTCATAACTTAATATTTTAAAGTTTTGGATATAATATGATTTTTGCTTTGTTTGTTTTAATAGAAAAGATGATGTAAGAATGCAAACTAATTTGAAAAGAAAGTTTTCGTGTATATATGAAATCGATATATGAGTTCATCTTTTTATAAATTTTTAACTTGGTCATGTCTCATTTTACATAAAACTCAATTTATACTTGATTTTGACATATTTAAATATTTTATTTTGAGTAAAAAAAGTATTTTTTATGAGACTCACTAAAAAGTTTCTCATATAAAATGGTAAAATTTTGTAAAAAAAAAGTAGTGAGATTTTTTTTATATTTTATTGAAAATACTTTTTAAATTTTTTGCTAAATAATTTTTTATTGATATTATAAAAAAGATTTTTTTTCATATAAACTAATATTTTTTTACTCACTTTTTCATTTATTCTTTTTTATTTCAATCCATTCAAACAAATTTTTTTCATCTCACTTCTCATATATTTCTTCCCAGTCATATTTTTTTCTATTTGTTTTTCTTTAACTCATTTTTTATTACATCCAAACGCAGCATTATTGTTTAAACCTCCTTTCATATTTCCTAACAATTATTCGAGGAGAAATAAAACATCAAAAAATTCAATTGCTGCACCATGATGTACTGGGACAATTTTGAATCTAAGCACAAAGGATGAAAAACAAAACCAAACAAATAAGATGGCCATAATAAACAAAAGTTCACTGCATAATAGCAGTTACATAAGCTTAACTCTGCATTCAGTCCTGAGTCCTGAGAAGATAACATTACATTTATTGGGATTTCTGATTGGTTTGAATACCAGTTTTCTAAATTCTTGACTGCTTGGCAAGCTTGAACCACTCAGTATGGAAAGAGCCCTCCATGTCAGTCCTTTTATATGTATGAGCACCAAAGTAGTCCCTTTGAGCTTGAACCAAATTAGCGGGCAACCTTTCTCTTCGGTATGTGTCAAATCAGTCCTGAGAAGATAACATTACATTTATTGAGATTTCTGATTGGTTTGAATACTAGTATTCTGATTGGTTTGAAAACCACAACAGAAATAAGAAGAGAACATGTAAGCAGAGTCTCTATAAACAAACAAAATAAGTTCATGAATCATATAAACAAACAAAATAAGTTTTAAAAATTAATTACCTTTAAGTATTTTAAGATAATTTGTCCTATATAGTATATATTTTAATATTCTTGAATTAGATGCAGTACTCTCTTATTCGAGCAAAACATAAGTAAATATTAAGTTAAATGAACATACAATCAATGTGTTTTGTGTTGAAAAGAATATTTTCTATTAAGGTATTTTACAGCTTTAGTTGATGATACTTTTACACAACATGTGTACAGTCAATTGTTCTAACATAATTCTGGCATTAACATTTTTTTATCTATATATATATATATATATATATATATATATATATATTACATATTATTAATTTTTATACAAAAATATATTTTACTTAAAAAAGAGTTAAATTGACTGTTTTCAATAATTTCTATAGGAATTTGTGACCCATATGGTTGTTTGAAATATTGTCCTTCTAACTTATTTAATTGATTGAATCACAAAAAAAATGTCTAGTTTCGCCAAAAGCGTTGAAACCAAAATTGAATTAGCTCTAAAAGATTGGTTTGCATAGAAATTGACATTGGTGACACTAGAGAGATTACTTAAAAAAAACTGTCAAGGCGGCCACTAATGGGATAACACAGTCATGCTAGATGAGGATGCACACCCTTGCTTAGTTGAATAAACCTAGAATGCAGATGCAACTACTAGCACAGTCGTGCACCTTACGATCATTGGGGTGCATATGGAATAAGCATGGGCGTGCCTATGTTTTCAGCACAGAAGTGCTTTTGTGCGTAGAGCCAAATCGTCCAGAAAAGTTATCTTGAGGATTGCCTCCTTTTTGAAAAAATAAAATAAAATAAAACATACAAAATATTAAAAGAAAAGAAAAAAGAAGGAAATATGTTGGTTACCTCCTAAAAAAGCTTGTTTAATGTCGTGATCTTGAAGTCCTAGTAGATTAACACTTTTTCTCCTTCATGAAACTCACGATGTAGAATATGCTTGTTGTGCCACTTTTTGATGCGCTCCTTGTATAACTTAGCATTCTCGTATGTCGTAAGACATATCTCATATAACTCATTAAACTCCAAAAGGTTTTTCTCATTTGCAGGCTGCAAATCAAAATTAAGGAACTTCAAAGTCCAATAGGCTTTATGTTAGAGTTCAATAGGTAAGTGACAAGCTCTTCCAAAAATCAAATAATTAGGAGATATACCAATAGAAGTTTTAAAAGCGGTACAATAAGTTCAAAGCGCATTATTCAATTTAAAGACCAATCTTTTCTAGAACTATTAACTGTGCGCTCTAAAATATTTTTTAACTCTCTATTTGATACCTCAACTTGTCCACCGATTTGGGAGTAGTAAGAAATAGCAACCTTTTGGGTGACACCATATTTTGCCAAAAGATTATCAAAAAGTTTATTCATTATTAAAAGACTTAGGAAACGGTCCCATAAAATCAATATTGCAAATGTCAAACAATTCACAGACCAAAATATTATTAAAGGGCATGTCATGCCTTTTAGAAATATTACCACTCATTTGACATTTATCACATGATTTAACAAAGTTATAAGCATCTTTAAAAAGTGTAGAGCAATAAAAACCACTTTGCAAAATCTTATGAGCAGTTTTAGTTAGGCCAAAGTGGCTTTCTAGCTCTCTAGAATGACAATATTCAAGAATTGCAATAAATTCACTCTCAGGAACGTATCTCCTAATCAAATTAACCCCACAAACTTTAAACAAATAATGCTCTTCTAATAAATAATATTTAACATCAGATAAAAATTTTCACTTTTGTGAGGATGATAGTTCATTAGAAAAGATTTTACCAACTAGGAAGTGAACCATATTGGTATACCAAGGTGCCTTAGAAATGGCAAAAATCCTCTCATCACAGAATGTTTCCTTAATTTCTACCTTGGTGTTCTCTCTCACCGAGGAATCTAGTCTAGATAGGTGGTTAGCAACTGAGTTCTCACTCCTCTTCTTATCCCAAATCTCCACATCAAATTCTTGTGGCAAGATGATTCAACGGATTATTCTTGG